GGGCCCGGCCCGCCCGCGTTCCGAACGCTCGGACTGCGGGCCTGAGCGGGGGGCGCGGCCGAGCCGGCGCTCAGGTTCTCAGGGCGAAGCGGGGGAGCAGCGGCGGCGCCTCAGCATCCCGCCTAGTCCCGCGTAGCTCGGCCTACTCGCTTGTCCGCCCGGCCGCCCTCTGCGCCGCAGCCGGAACCGCCGCCGCTGCCCGCCGGACTGCCCCGCCGACAACTGCCCGGCCGCCGCACAGCCCGCCGGGAAACCGAGTCCCACCCTCGCCGCCGGAACTGCAAGCCCCAGAAGGCCCCGCGGCGCCGATGCCTCCGAAGACCCGTAGCGGCCCTGCGCACAGCCTGCCGGGAAGCCCGGCTCCGGTCGCGAGCGCAAAGAACGACGGGAGCTGAAGTCGCGAGCGCCAGAACCTCCACACCGTCGTCCCAGAATTTGATGCCTATTTGCTTCCTCGTCAGAAAGCCGGCCTTTAAGAGCCCGACGAAGGCGCCCGCAAACTTTAGTGACTTTGCACCACCGGGCAGCCCTCTGCCAAGCATCTCCCGGCCCACCCCGTGGCGACCACGGTGGACAGGTCTCCACTTAGGGCAGCCCACCCTCCCGTCCCACCCGCCTTCCAGGCCAGGCCACCACTGGAGGCACACCCGACAGGATGGGCCGCAAGACCAATGCCAGACATGGACGCTCAGGGCCAGCAGCACCTGCAACTTTATGCACACTACAGGCTGGGCTGGGCAGGGCAGAGGGGCCCGGCCCCACAGTCACCCAGAGGAAACAAGGGGCCAATGCAAGTCCAGGCAACAGGGCCAGGGTCACGCAGAAAGGTCACTGTTATCAAAACGCTCCTGGTCATACACTTCCGCCACCACCTTGCGGCCAGCAAACCAGCGCCCATTGAGGGCCTGGATTGCCTTGTGAGTCTCTGAGGCCATGGAAAACTCCACAAAGATCTTGACGATGATTTCTGCATCCTCCTCCTCGCCCTGCTTCTCTTGGTAAATGATGACTCGGTTGACTGCACCAAACTTGCCACACTCCTCTGTCACCTCCCCTTCCAGGTCGTCATCAATGTCCTTGGGGTCTACCATGTTTCGAAGAACCATCACTGTAGACTGTGGTGAAGGGGGACAGCTGAGAGCCATGGCCTATCTGGACCACCCCCACACCCACTGCACCAGGACCCAGCTGCCCACCTCCTGCTTGCGCAGCAGCTTCTGCATCACCATGTGGCGGGCACTGCTGCCAGAGATGCTCATGTGTTCCTGCTCACTCAGCATCTCTGGCCGCTCTGACTCAGGAAACAGCTCCTCCTCTTCCTTCTCCTTCTTGGGCTCCAGGAGACCCAGTGTTGGAGGGCTAGCCAGGATGGGGTTTACCACTCCCACAGAAGGGATGGTGACCGGAATGGGAGGACGAGCTGGGGTCACACCTGCAGCAAAACCAACCAAGTCCAGCAGTCACTTCCCCCCCAACCCCATGCCTCCTGGTCCCCACAAAAGAACACAGAGCTGGTCAGCCATGGTACCATGGCTGTCTTGACCTCAGAAAGTGACACTTGGAGCAAGAGGGCCTAGAATCTGAAACTAGCTGAAGGCACTGTCTGGAGATGACAAGGCAGAAAAAGAGGGGCCCAGGACCCATACTTACCCGTGATGACTCCAGGTGCTTGGGCAGCCATGACGGCCTGGGGCAAAGCCCCTAGGGGCTGGGCCAAGGTCAGTGCTGGGGACACCAGTCCAGGAGTGGCCAGGGTACCTAGCACCGCTGCTCCAGCTACTGCTTCCTGCAAATCAAAAGGTTACAACACTGAGCTCCTGGTCTTGCTACTCAAGACAACTTAAGCCAATCCTAAAGGATCAAGAGTATATCCACCCACTGTCAAGCCCCCCCAGCTGCATCAGTCCTTACCTGAGCTGTGATCTTGGCTGTGGCTGCAGCTGCAGCCACAGCAGCAGCAGGTGGGAGACCTCCAGGTGTGGCAGGTGTAAGCAGAGGCATAGGGGGTGTGACAGCCTTGCCCACTCGCAAGTATTGACCACCCAGGTCAAATAGGTTCATGGAGGACACAGCATCTTGGGATGACTGGGCTTTCTCATACTCTGCAGGGCAAGGAGTAGTAGTGAGGAAGGTCAGCCCCAGCACCAGAAGGGCCCCTCCCCTGCCTCAGCTACTCCAGGCTTACCAATGAAGCCATAGCCCTTGTGCTTGCCAGTAGTAGGATCCCGAGCTAGTGTGCAAGACTTGATCTTGCCGAAGGCTTCAAACACACTCTTAATGTCATCATCTGAGAGGTCCTGGTGCACGGAGGCCACATAGATGCGGTTGAAAGCCCGTGCCTCCTCAGCCAGTTGGTCAATGATGGGCTGGGCCTGCCCAATGTTGCTGGGTCTGCCCACCTGAGGAAGAAGCAGGGATATGAGAGCCACTCATCAGTCCAGGCCCAGCCACATGCAGCTGCTACAGCAGGGCTGCACTGCAGGTCTGCAGGGGACAGAGAAAGGCCCGAGACCTGGCCCCCTTGCCCTCACCTTGATGTTCCTGCCCCCTAGCATCACTGAGTTCATCTGCTCCAAAGCCAGCTGTGCAGCTTCAGGGACCTCATACTCCACAAAAGCAAAGCCCTGAACATAAGGACACACTGTTAGGCTGGGAGAGCCCAGTGAGGGTGGCGGACTCCAGGCAGGCACTGCTTACCTTGTGCTTCATGGTGACAGAGTCCCAAGACATGTCAATGCTCTTGATGGGGCCAAACGGGGCAAAGGCCTGACGAATAGTGTCCTCTCCCAGCTCATAGTAGATGGAGCCCACATAGACCCGGCACATGATGGCCAGCGCCCGCTGCCGCTGAGCCGCCATCTGCAGCAGGATAGAAGGGGAGAGAACCACTGGCCAGTCAGGGGTGGCAAGAGGTTGGGCAGCCTATTCCCCTCCTGGCCCACCCACCCAGCTCCGCTGTGGGAAGGACTCCCCACACAGCAGCAGGTGTAGGCTTGGTCCCTAGTCAGGGCACGGGGGTCAGCAGAACCCTGCCCCAGGAAGATAGGCCAGGCCTAGCAGCAGGACGCAGACGCACCCCAGCCTGCCCAGGTCCCTGGTAGTCTGCGACGGCAAAGCTGACAAGAGGTCCAGAGGCAGGGCTGTGTGCCCTCCCAAGTCTACCCCCAACCCCCACCAGAGGCCAGGTGTCCTGGCTGGGCTGGGAGATCCTCCCACTGTCCCAGCCAAGTGCTACGACCGAAGAGGGAAGGAGGAGCCATCCAAGCTGGAGGGACCCACTGATTTGGAGGCCAGAAGAGAGGAGGGCAGAAGACAGGGCAGCCACTGCCCAGAAGAGACCCCAGGGGAAGAGCTCAGGGGCCTAGCCAGGGGCTCCCTGGAAAGAGAAGGAACAACTGCTCATACAGGGCCAACTCAGGCCAGGGCTCAGTGCCGTGTGCCCTCCTAGTCCCCTGAAACCTCTCACAAAAAAGAGCTGCCTGTAGCCCATGCCACAGCCAAACAAACTGGCCCAGGCAACACCTGTTGGCCTGGCCCTGGGGCATCCCAAGGTAGCAGAGACCCTAAAAGATGCCCCAGGACTAATTGGAGCTGGAGAGGTGACAGGCCTGCCAAGTTTAGGGCTTTGGTTGTGAGCTTAGCCATATGTGCTGAGGGACCTCCCCATGCCCTCTTGACAGTGTTCTCTCCCCTGCCAGCTCACAGGAGAGACATGTCACATAGGGGGATTTTAGAGCCAAATGCAGCGGGCCACAGGGAGACCATGGGTCCAGGGCTGGTGAGGCAGGTGGGGCTGAAACCAGGGCCCTGGCCCTTGCCACCTCACAAAGGTCCCCAAAGCCAGAGACCAGCTTCCTTCCTTAGACAGTGGCCAGCCTACCACAGACTGAGCCTCCCTCTTCACTTTTAG